GTGAGTCCCAAATAACGGCGGGAGAGGTTACCATCGGCGTCGCGCGCGGAGGCACGTCGCCGGGGTGAAACTCCGCTGCCGCGCCAGATAAGTGCGTGGTGGGAAGAGCTCCGGCGCGATCTCATGGCGGAATGGCAGTAACGAATTGTCTTAAAACATCTACTAAGTACCGACCTATAACTTGGTACACAATAAACAGTTATATTTTCATGCACATTTGTCCATTTTATTGTCAGAGCCTGGTAAGGACATTTTTCAAGGGCGCAGTTTTGAAAGCTCGCACCGGGCGCCTAGAAGGCTAGTTACGACACTGCTCACAGGTGTGCTGTAGGCCTTATAAAAAGGAATACGCTCTTTTCTTGAAGGTTTGAAGGTCATCGGTATCGGTTTGGAAATACCGCCGACGACAGATCATTCTACAGTTTTGCTGTGTGAGGCAGGAAGCTGCGAGAGAAGCGCACAGTTGTGGCCTGCCAACCATCTATATGATGGGGTTGGATATGTTGTCGTGGGGGTCGATTACGAAAAGATGCGGCAGGTATCAGATTAAACAATTCCTCAGAGCCCTCCCCGTGGTATAAGCGATAGAAAATGCACAACGAAGCTACATCTCTACGCATTTTTTTTAAATCGGACATAAGAGGAGAAGAAAAAAAAAAACGATAGTTTCCACTTCCCTCGGTGAATTACTGCAGGAGACAGTGAATGAAGCCTAAAGGAGGTACATCTCTACGCATTACCAAAGTATGTAGCCGATTTGAAACATCCCGACATCTACACAAGTGAACATACTCAGTAAACAAAACTTAACTTCAAGATCATAGAGCCAAGATCATAAGGGCATGATAGATGTGGAAAGAATAAAGCCAAGTTCACACTTGTCACATAAATACCGGACCCACATGATAACACAAACAAATATTCTGATCTATGGTCGCCATGGGAACTGACAGCATAGATTATGTATGGGTTTTTGGTAGCATTGACATTATTTGATGATAAAGGAATCTTGGTATTCAGCCTTTACACGACAGCGGGTGACCATGTGGGAATTGTTACTTATTAGTGGTCATAGTACGTAATCGAAATTGGAATCGTATTTCATTATTTGTTTAGAGAGATTGTGTTTATTTGGAAATAGGTTGGCTCCCAATTAACTTTATAATACAGTATGCTCTGTCTCTGTTGAGCGTATCAAATATTGATGAACGCATTAATATTTTTAAGATATTATCTGTGATATTACCAAAGAGTTATAATAAGTATAGAGGTAGGATATTACCTATACTGCTCAACATAACAATTGCGCTAGAAATAAATAATTATCTTGTGTTGTACCTATATGGTGCTTCTCATGTGCGCCGATTTAAGTAGGTATAACACGGTGTACAACAATTTTGAAAATCTAAATGTTTCATCAACTTTTGATGTTGGCCGTACTAGGAAAGTCCCAATAGGACTGGGTCACAATATTTTAGCAGGTGAAAAGTACGTATTACATTTTGTATGTAGGATCTGATCTTTGGATACACATAGCCATCAGACCACCACAGATGGGGCCCAACAGGGCTGATGCCGATACGGAGCCGCAGAAGACTTAACGGGTTCCCGGGGCTCCGGCTCGAAGTGCAGGGGCAGGAAGGGGGTGGTGTTTAGTCAGTAAGAGTCTGACACTCCCTCTCGCCTCATCCGGGCGGGAGAAGTCATTGGATGATTTTCCCCCCTCAAAAAGAAAGTCTTTGGATACACTCATCGATGGGTAAAGAGGTTATTCGGGTAATTGCTATGTCACTATTTATTTACTCTCATTACATAATAGATAAGATAATTATTAGACTATAAAATCGATTGCCTCGTTGGCCGAGTGGCTGCAAGTACGACTGCCGGGCAAAGGGTTTTGGGTTCGATTCGGGCAATAGACTCACCCCCTATTACATGGGACTCATAACATAAAATAGTGAAAAGTGGGTGTTACATTGTACAGTGGCATTAAGTGCAGTAATGTGCACCTCTGTCTACCACTTCGGGAATAAAAGGCGTGATGTTAGGTTATGTTAAAATACAATTGTTCTTACGTGGATAGCAATCCTTAGCTTCAACGCAGTGTCCACTATGGTGCCTTAGCAAATGAGGTCGGCAGAGACATCCTCGAGTGCACACTTTGATGGGGCAGGATGGCGATGGGTTGGAACAGCTTGGTTCACACCAGCCGCAGGAGAAGTACTCCTCATCAGGGGCACAGTCCTCGATTGAAGGCTCTTGATAATCATGGGCTATTGGACCCACCATTACTTCAGCTGGAAAAGAAGATGATTGATACGATTCCAGGTCTTTAAGAGTTCTTTTTGTTTGCTTTTCGTATTTAATTCAAATTCTTTATTTGCAGAATATGGGTAAGTTAACAAAATGTTTATAAATGAAATTATGAATCGCCATAATCAGAGTCACGCCATGCAAAATTAAATGCAAATTGGGTACAGTCGAAATGAACACAGTATCATGCAAACGAATCGAGAAAGAAAAATAGTTAGGTATTAATCTTAATAGTAATGGAATGGAAAAAATACATATTTGCTGCAACTTTTATATGTAAAAATGTAAAATATGTAAAGTAATGTAAAAAGGTAATTAATTACCCAAGCAGTTAAGTCCAAAGGTCTACAGAAGGTCTATTATTACTTATTAGATATACTGGGTTAAATTGATGTGCACTGGGGACTATTGGGAGTTTTCTTTTTTCGATAATTCTTGTGGACTCACTCTCACATTTACTAAGTAGGTTGGTACCTATATGCACTTTTGCTTCATCATTATCACCATCATTTTCAATAGTCATAAGTGGCCACTGCTGCTCAAAGACGTCTTCTCACACGAAGAAGGTTTGAGCATTAATCACCACGCTTGCTCAATGCGGGTTGGCAATTTCAAACTTATAATTGGAAGTTATAAGTCCAGGTTTCCCACGATGTTTTCCTTCATCGTTTGTCAGTGATGTCTAGATCTTAGAAAGTACATATAACTTGGAAAAGTCTTATTGATACTTTGCCGTTAGTAGGTTTCGAACCCTCGTGCATGAGAAGTGGGTGTCTTGAACGTTTAGACCACAATAACGACTTTTGCCTTACCTTCCGCTGAATTAAAGGTGTTTGGATATTTTGTGGTTTACATTATTTTATTCATTTGATTTAAAGAGTCGTCAATGTTCAATGAAATTGCCAATTCTTAACGAGATAAATGGTCGAGATTATGTAATTGTAGTGATGTGTTTACTGTTGTTTATAAATCTGTGTCAAATCCTTGTTTTAATTAAGTATATTGCATGTATTGTACGCCCTAGAGGCAAAAAATAGCGCTCTCAACATAGAGGTATTACATAAGAACTTATAATGTACCTATGTTTTACAATGAATAAATGAATCTTGAATCTTGAATCTTGTGTTGTTATATTTTAATTATACAGAACACTGTCTTACTTACCTGTGTTCATTAAGTAACAAGTTGTGGTTAAGTAATACACTGATAATAGCGTGCAATTAGTGATGTGTAACAATATTACGGAGTATTGTGCGTCTGTGTATGTACATAGTTATGGATCCTTTAAATAATTGTGCTGATTATTATACAACGTGTTATCAAGTGGATGTTATAAGAATACCGATAGACAGAACTTGTACGTGCAAGATATATTCTTAATTTGTTTCTAAACTGCTTGCTTTTCAGTAGTGTTAGAGATTTATTTAGATAGGTAATTTAGAACGCTCCTAATAAAATCTCCTCAATATCAAAAAAGCTCCTAATAAAATCTCTTTTATTATTTACACATCAAATTCACTCATTTTATTTCAAATCGCTGCAACGCTTGGTTTAGGTTTTCGTCGATATATATTTACATATGTATGTATTTATACCTATATATTTTATGCATATGACTATATCTACTATTTAACATTATGTAACATATATGTAAATAGTTTAGTATTATTGTGAGTACCTACTCCTCCCGCCTGTGATACAGGATATTCTTCCTAGTACAGGCATTCAAACCTAGTGTGATCTCTGATTTTAAATTAAGATGTTTATCTGTACTATGATCAATTTCTTATAATGAATAAAGATTTTATTTTTAAGATTTTTTATGTAAGTATAGCAATATTATTGAATAATTACCATTTTTTCTCTCTCTCTCACTCTCTTTGCTGTTAGTTTATTCTCCGTACCTTATTTTTCGCAGATTTTCTACTTAAACTCTAAGGTTGACTGGTAGAGAATGCCATATGGCACTAAGTTCGCCTTATATGCCATAATAAAATTGACATTGTGTAGGTACATAAAATAATAAATAAATAAAATAATTTAAAATTGTTTGAAATTATGTTGTGCTCGTTAGAGTTTAAAATGTGTAGGAGTATATAAATTGAAAATTATAAATAAAGTAGGGTAAGATTAATATCGAAAATCAATTTATGGAACCTTGAATTACAAGGTATTTAGTTAGGCGTAGGCCAAGGCGTATAAAGAAGAAACAAGAAAACACATTGATTAACACTTTATTTAATTATATCTTAATAAATATCTTACAATACTAAAATAAATAAATATACACTTAATTACAAAACAGCCAAAGAGTTAATACATAGAGTTGTATTTGTGTCTATATGAAACTTTAACTAAACAAGAAATTGAAATATGGTAACACAAATTGCAAAGGTGTCGTAAAAGTAGGTACAGAAAAAAAAACACAATTAAAATAGACAAAACAATATCAAGACGCATATTTGAAAATATTATTGATTTTTTTCTGGTGCAACACGAAATGAATTTAAATAATAATTTGTTGTAGAGAAAAGAAAAACATACAAAGATATCTATTATTACAATAAAACATTGTAGTACAATTTTCTTAACAGAAGACAATAAAATGAATACAGTTTACAAAACATAGAGGCTTGGAAATAAAAAAAAATACAGTAAATCTTAAAAGGTTCAATAGTATTTATTCTTTATAGACGAAAGAAGTCGACCTCAAAGTGTAGAAAGGAGAAATAAATACAGATAGAAAATATTTCCAAAAAAATGTGCGTAAGAAACAAGATAGTTCCTAAAACTACTTTTATTAAAACTTTATGAAGCAATAAGAAACAAAAGAAGACTATAATTTACTTCACACTCAATTCAGGAGTATACTGATTTCCTGATACATGGTTTTAAGGAATATGCGCTAATTTGAACTGCAATTCAGCATGTCTTTCACATGACCACACACTATAGAAGAATTAAGTATCTACAGAGAATTCTACAGAAGAGTCTATTTTTAAAAAGAATTAACATTACACAAGACAGTTATAGCCAGAAATTAGAGAACACCCCATTAAGTTCGTCCCAGTTACCTTTTGGACAGTCTTCTAACTTGACGCATTGGCCATTGGGGGACTGGACGTAACCTTCTTCACAGAAGCACCCCATGGCACAAGGGGTAGGACATTTAGGGTTTGGGTTACTGCAGGTCTTGGCACAGGTCTCACAGCGCTTGTAGACCTGGTGCTCACTGCAGGTCATCTGGTATTGAATTGGCTTTGGGTCTGGAATTTCTGTACAATGCGTTTTGGTTAGAGAGGGATTTTGGTGATAAGGAGTCGTTTTCTTCTTTGTGAAATGAATGACGTCGAATACAGTAAATACATAAATATCACAGAAAATAAATATAGCGAAAAATAAATAAAAGTTGTCATAGAAAATTCCTTATTAAGCAATATTCAATAGCTTAAGTCTTTGGTACATAATTTATAATTGATGAATAATAACAGCAATAAGAAGAACGGTATAGAATACATAAATAAGTAAGTAATTAAAAATATTAATGTAAGATCTTCTTTGTAGGAGACTAACAGAAGAAGAGTAGCCACAGCATGCAGAGAGAAGAAAGAAGAACTTCGGCAAGAGATCGGCAGGTCATTAGGTCATATGCTAGTATTCGATGTCTGCAAATAAAATGAAATTGTTGAGTTACTAACTATATAATATACTGTTCTAAAAATTGGATAGAAGGGATGTCCAATTTTACTGTAAGTAGGAATTGGGCTGAACTTCCTATGGGGTTATTTCGATTTTAAAAATCCTATTGAAGACAGACAGTTAGAATAAATTAAGTGGTCTACGCTTTTTTAAAAGAGTAACAAATGGAGTTTCTTGCTCGTTCTTATCCATTCAAATCTACATTTTGGAATGAGCACCTAGCTTCACCTAGCTTCACTGACGGACTGACTGACAGACTATTATTTATTTTGTATTTGTTGACGATTCAAAAGTACCACCATATGCTTTAATTGAAATAAATGCTTTGACTTTGACTTTGACATTTTACATTGGCACGATCATAAAAAAATTACTATCGTGTTGTACATACAAAGGTTTCAAGTACCAAGTGCCCATTGACCAGCAATTCCTGTATTCGATGTCTAATTTGGCCAAAATCCCTTTTAATGGCATGACCATTGAATGTAGCGTCCAGTAATTTATCTACCTTGAACTTTGCCAAGCAAATAGGGTAGACGACTAATTTTTTTATCCGACTGGTAGATTATTTTAAAACATTTATTTGTTATTTCCTTACAGATACAAATACTTTGGACGATATATTGATTTGAAATGTCGCGTGACGTCACTTCTAGAGATGTTATCTTCGTAGAAATGACGTTTTTACTCCCACTCTTTAACTTTGATCCGTTTAATGAAGTAATGTTTTATTATACGATAAAAAAATACGTGTCTAATATTTTTTCATTACCTAACTGACGGACGAATTAGATTTTTGATTTTCATACCCTGTCATCGTCCCTATTATTATATAAAAGCAAAAGTTATAATTAATTATAATTGGGCATCTCATTCAGAACAATAGATAAAAAAAAAACAAGAAAACAAAGCGATATTTATGCATCTTGCAAAACTGTTGTTTACCAAACTAAGTAATGCATTAAGATTATAATTAAATAGATCGGACTAACTTACCTGTGACGTCCGATCCTCAATTGTGTAGGTAGCGTCATCCTCGCTAATTATACTAGTAGTAGGCACTAATCTGGGCACGCTGTCACAATATTTAAAGATGAACACATTCATAAAAAAATATT